TCTTTTTAATCTCTCCATTAATGTCTTAATATCTAGGTTTGTAGTTTGAGACCCTTCATTCTGAGGGCTCTTCATTGTTTGCATTCCAAAGTCAGTTTTGCTCAGTGTCTTCCCTCCCAGGGGTCTGGGAGAGACCCATACTCTTCTTTTAGTTTTTCTTCATTTGTGTAGATTTTTCTCTCTCCCCTTTTCCCTCCCTTTCTTTAATTCTGTTTCTGAGAGAAGGTGGGGTTGGTTTTGTTTCACTTGTGCAATATCCTGTTCTTCCTTATGAGGGTCTTCTGGCTTTGTTCACTTTTGAGGTTGGAGTGTGGGCTGCGGGCTGTACTTTTTGCACTTTTGAGGTTTTATTGAGGGGGAAGCTGTGGTTCAGAATGTGTATGCTGATTCTAGCATCCACCAACAGGTGTATGAGCACACTGGAACCCATTTACCACTGCCTTACAATCTGTCCGTGCAGCGGTATATAGGCTTGGTCTCTAGATTAAACGGAGGTATAAAAGAAGAAAATAATGGAGGAAGAGGGGGTTAGTAGGAAGTTAGAAAGAGAGAAGAGCGAGAGGGAAAACAGATACACATACCAACTAACAGGTGAGAAAGAGACACAAGGCCGGAGAGAAGTGGAAAAAAAAAATGTAAGAAAGCTTCCCTAAAGAATACTGGTACACAGACAGACCAATAGAATCACGAAAGAGTGTAAGTCAGAAAGCAAACAACAAAAGTGATCAAAGCAAACAGTCAAAATGATAACATCAAAAGTCAAAATAAGAGATCAGACTAAAGTCACTTCAGTTCTGATATCCAGCCTTTCCCCTTTGTTTTTCATTGCAGGCAGCCAGATTTACTCACAGTTTGGGTTTGTTTGTTTTTTTTTAGCCTGCTGTCTGGGATGCTTGTGATGCTTAATTGCTTTTGTTTGATTCAGCGTAGGGGTGGGACTTTGTCTCCTGTTTAGTGATGTTACCTTAGGAACTGAGGTGGGGGTTGCTGGTAGGTGGGCGGGGCAATGCAAATCTCTGCCTGGAGAATGACCGAGTTGGTAGTGTCACTTTCACAGATCGTTTCTCTCCGCTTGTCTGGGTCCCCAAGCTTGGGGTCACACGCTGAGTGCCTCACCCAGGGTGGGCCCAGAGCTCCAGAGCTCCAAAGCTCCAAAGGGCAGGCGATGAGTGGTGAGAGTGGCCCTGGGCCCCCCACAGGGTACTTTAGCCAGGAATGGGACCTTACAAGGTGTTTCTGAGGGGTTTCTGAGGGGCAGGTGCCCAGATCCTCCCTGAGTGACCAGTGGCTTGGTGCTGGGTGCTGGGCGAGAGACGATGTAGCCAGGGAGGGAGCTGAGACCTGAGACTCCTACGCACGCGGGAGTCGTGTATGGTGGAACAGCAGCAGCGGGGGGCTGCAATATCCGGCCCTGCGTGAGACTGAAGGTCCCTGGGCCTTGGACCAGTGTGGCTGGCGGTGGGGAGGGGGATGGGGGAATAAAAGTAAGAGTCTTTTTGGGAACTCACGTTCAGAGAATCTCACAAGTCCACCTATGCTGTCGCCATCTTACCGGAACCCCCTACTTTCAGTTTTCAAAGGACTTGTACTTTCCCAACCTTCTGATTTTCTTTGTAACCTAGAAATTAAATATGTCTTTATTTTAAGAATATCTTCTTATTTTAAAGGTAATTTATATTTATTTAAGTTATAAAATGACATGCTTATTAAAGAAAATTTGGAAAATTATAGTGGAATTGGAAGAAAATAAAATTATCAATAACTCCATACTAGTAGACAGTCATTGTTAATACATTATCGTTTCCTTGTAATGTTTTCTGTTCCTATATATTTATTTGTATTGTAGAAAACTATGTATCTATAGCATATATGTGACAGATTCAGTTACATGTGGTTGAGACCGTGCTCTATCTGTATAGATTCATATTCTATCTTTTAAAAATTCATATTGTATATAAAATATTTTCCTATATCTTTAAACATTCTTTTAAAAATATTTTCAAACTTGTTTTTAAATTGAGAAATGAAAATGGTATACATTTATTGTGTACAACATATTGCTTTGAAATCAGTATGAGCATACATTGCACAATGGCTAAATTGAGGTAATTAACATGCATTGCCTCACACACTTTTTTTGTGGTTTAACACTTAAACACTTACTCTCATACCAGTTTTCAGGAATACGAACACTGTTATTAACTATCCTTATCATGTTTTACATTAGGTCTCTTGAACTTATTCCTCTTATCTAGTTGTAAATTTGTGTTTTGTGTTCTTTGACTAGCTATCTTCCCAGCCCTCTACTCCCCCAGTCTCTGGTAACTACCAGCCTACTTTCTGCTTGTGAGTTTAACTTTCATAGGTTCCATATATAAGTGGAATCATGCAATATTTATCTTTTGTTGCCTGGCTTATTACACTTAACATATTGCTCTCCAGGTTCCTGCAAATCACCCATGTTCCTACAAATGACAGAGCTTCCTACTTTTTAAAGCTGTATAGTATTTTATTGTATGTGTAGATAACACTTTCTTAATCCATTCATCTGATGGACACTTAGGCTGATTCTATATCATGGCTATTGTGAATAGTGTTGTAGTGAACATGGTAGTGCAGATATCTGTTTGACATAGTGATTTTATTTTCTTTGGATATATACCTGGTAGTGGAATTGTTTGATCATGTGAGATCATATAGTAATTCTTTTTATTTTTTGAGTTGGGATTTCACTCTTTTGTCCAGGCTAGAGTTCAGTGGCATGATCATGGTTCACTGTAGCCTTGACCTCCTGGGCTCAGGTAGTCTTTCTGCCTCAGTCTCCCAAGTAGCTGGGACTATAGGCATGTGCCATCATGCCTGGCTAATTTTTTTTGTAGAGATGAGATCGCGCTATGTTTCCCAGGCCGGTCTTGAACTCCTGGGCTCAAGCAATCCTCTAGCCTCGGCTTCCTAGAGTACTGAAATTACAGGCGTGAGCCACCATGCCCAGCTGGTAGTTAGTTCTATTTAAAATTTTTTGAGGAATCTTTATATTGTTTTCCATAATGGCTAAACTAATTTACATTCCAACCCACGTGTGCAGGGGTTCCCTTTTCTCTATATCCTTGCCAGCACTTGTTGTTCATCTTTTTGATAGTAGCCATTCCAACAGGTATGATGTAATATCTCATTGTGGTTTTAATTTGCATTTCCCTGATTAGTGATGTTGAACATTGTTTCATATACCTGTTCACCATTTGTCTATCTTCTTAATAATGTCTGTTCAGATCTTTTGACTATTTTTAAAATTTGGGTTATCTGCTTTCTTACTGTTGAGTTGTTTGAGTTCTTTATATATTTTGGACATTAACCCCTTATCAGATGTATGGTTTGCAGATACTTTCTCTCATTTTGTATGTTGTCTCTTCACTTTGTTGATTGTTTCCTTAGCTATGCAGAAGTTGTTTAGGTTGATGTAATCCCTATATTTGCTTTTGTTGAGTGTGCTTTTGGGTTCATATCCCCCCAAAATTTTTGTCTAAACTAGTATCTCCCTGTTTTTTTCTAGTTGTTTTACAGTTTCAGGTCTTATGTTTTCTGAACATTTTAATAGCTACATACTATCCCATTTGTATGAAGTGTATATAGTCTGGTATAATTTCAGTAAGACTCAAAAATATACAAACAATTTACTAATCAGGGACACATTCATATGTGTTAAAACTATTTTAGAAACCAAAGTAATAATAAATTCATGAGAATTGTTATATCTGGAAGAAAGGCAGGTGGGCAGGTGAGATGGGGAAATTTATGCAAGCAATTGGGAAAGTCTTAGTTCTTTTTTTTTTTTTTGAGTCTGAGTCTCACTCTGTTGCCCAGGCTGGAGTGCAGTGGCTTGCTCACGGCCACTGCAGCCTTGACCTGTTAGGTTCAGATGATCCTCCTGCCTCAGCCTTCCAAGTAGCTGGAAGTACGCCACCACACCTGGCTAATTTTTCTTGATTTATTGTAGAGATGAGACGAGGTCTCATTAAGTTGCCCAGGCTTGTCTCTAAATATTTACATATGTTCTTTTGCATATGCTACACATTATATTTATTAAATATTTTAAGAAAAATCATTGGAATATAGGAGACCAATTGCTACTGTGGGCTTTACTTTAACTTTGTTATTTTTTAGTTCCACGTTCATTTTAGATTTTATTTGCTATTATCATATATATATTATATTCTTTATTTGTGAGCTAAGGGCAAGAACTATTGCAGTGTCTCTGCACATCAGTGACATGGGTGCTGTCCCCAGGATTGCCATAATGATTGTTTTATTGAGATCATGTTCATGGAGCACCTTTTCTGTCCAAAGCATTTGCCAGGGACTAGAAAGGTTATATTCTCCCAGTGAGCTGAGATGTTAGAGAGCTCTCTGCAGAGTTGCTCAGGCCTGCCTCTCAAACAGCATTGAGGGTCATCCTGCAGAGGAGGCAGGAACATGGTAGGACTGCAGATAAGGGAATTGGGCCAGAGTAGGAAGTATCTATGAGGAACTAAAAACAGTGAAATTTGAAGACAGGCTTTGAGAACTAAACTGCTATGTTTTGATGCAGTTCAGACTTAGGGTAGCTAAGGCTTCACCTTCCTTTGAGATGATTATCTCATCTGCTTAGGTGCCAGTCTTCCTAACTTCTGACATTGTGTGAGAATAAATGTGGCATATTATTGGATTGTTTTTACTTTTGCAGCTGCTTATTTTACTTTTGAACTTGTTCCAACATTAAAGCTCATTGGTAGTGATTAATATATTTAAAAAATCATTAGTTTCTAATTTTGTATAATAGTTAATATTATCATATTTTAAAACTATAATTATAGTATTTATAGTATGTGTAGAGTATTTAATGCCTTCCATGAGTTATTTCATTAAGAACACCAGGGGCAGTTTTGGGCAAAACATTAATAACCTGAATTTTATTTCAGGGTTGTTTTGAAACCTCCATTTATTAAAAATTTTATTCTTTTCAGAGTCATATTAAATCTATAGACTCAGGAGAAACTAACATAGATGGAGCCATAGGTGAGTAGCCCATGTGATTGCTGATGTCATTGTTTGAAGTACTTTGACACTGATTTAGAACATGTAAATAAGCAACTACAGTAAATTATCTGTATTTCCAGGACTGACAGCATCGGAAGAATTTATCAAGATCACGTTGTCGACTTTTGAAGCAATAATACAGTATCCTATTTTGTTGAAAGACTATCGCTCTACGGTCAGTTCTGGCAGCTTTTGGAAAAAAAGTGCTTTTATTTTTCCTTGGTAATTCTGTATTTAAAGAGACCTAGTTTACATATACTTGGCTCATATGTGTTCCTTACACGAAATAACAGTTCAGAAAAGTACTTCCCTGCCCCAGAATGAACATGAGAAATCCCTTCCCTCTTTTTTTTTTACTTTCTTGGGATTTTTCTTTTGGTATTATTCTCTTTCCCTTCCAGTCCACACCTTCCCCACAGCCTACTTGTATCTTCTTCCCTGATTATTTGTTTCATTTGTTGTAACAAACCCTTCGAGCAGAGTTTCTCAACCTCAACATCAAGGGCATTTTAGGATGGACAATTTTTTGTTGTAGGGATTGTCTTGTGCATTGTAAGATGTTTAGCAGCACTCCTGGCTTCTCCCCACTGAATGCTGGTGGCACCCTTTCCATCTCATATATCCTCTGGGTGGCAAAATTGCCCCTTTTGAGGACCTGTGGCTTAGAGGGATCCTTAGGTGAGCCAGGTGCTCAAGCCTCTCTCGTTTTTTGCAAAAAGACACCCCAGAAGAGGAGCTAGGTAGGACGAGAACTAGGTGGTGGTACAAGTAGCAGTATCAGGTTTGTCAGGCAGGGGCCTTCCCTAGGAGCTGCAGTGGAGCAGGACAGGGTCCCATCTTTCCCTCCTTTACCCTCCCACCTCCTACCTGCCCCTCTCCTGAAACACTGATGGTGTGGCGGGGTGGGGGATGTGTGCCTTGCTCCCAGGCTTCTGGCTGTTGTTCCAGTGTCCCATCTCATTTAGCGTTTGACCCAAATAATAGTGACTGTTTTAGGGTAACAAATTGTTGGTCATCTGAGGCATAACCCAGCAGAGGCACTGATATGAAAATGTTTTTTGAATCTCAAACAACTAAACCTATAGGAAAAGTTTTAGACAGCAGTCTCTCATGGGGACTACCCGCAATGATGAACCAAAGTACAGGATTCAGAATTTAAAATTGTGACAGAAAAAGAAATTATGAAATAAAGAAAAAGTTATTTTTTAACACTTTCATGGTCACTTAGATACCATTGTAGAACTGAATCCTGGAATTTGTTTCCTCACACTCTTCTTTTTTACTCCCAGCCCCTTCCCAGCTCCTTTGTTTGCATTGAATCTTTCACTTAAATAGTGTCTTCCTTGAAATTAGTTCACTTCTGATTTGGGTTTTTGTTATATGTATATTATACATTTTAATTTATAAAATGTGGTTTAGAATGCCAGAAAAATATGTATCTTTCTTTCTTTTTCTCTTTTTTTTTTTTGAGTTGAAGTCTCACTCTGTCGCCCCGGCTGGAGTGCAGTGGTAGGCTCACAGCCACCCCAGCTTCGACCTGTGATCCTTCCGCCTCAGCCTTCCAAGGATCCTCTGGATCCTCAGGCAATCCTTCCACCTCAGCCTTCCAAGTAGCCAGAACGACAGGCACTCACAACCACGCCCGGCTAAGTTTTTAAAAAAAATTTATTGTAGAGATGAGCTCTTGCCAAGTTGCCCAGGCTGTTCTTGAGCCCATGGACTCAGGCGATCCCTTCACCTCGGCCTCCCAAAGTGCTGGGATTATAGACTTGAGCCACTGCGCCCAGCTGTATCTTACTTTCTTAACAAGGAATTATTGTTAAAATTAGGTGCAAATGACTTTATTTTGGAATTTCGGGTGCTGATGAACACACTTAGTGTTTTTGTGGAATAGTATTTGTAAGAATATGCAACTTCCTAAATATTATAATGTAAAGATATACCCCCAGCTACCTGTACTTTAAAAAGTGAACAATTCATGGAAGTGACTCTTAAGTTCACATATTTTTTCACAATTGCTTTATAGAGATGCTGCCTTCTTTTCTAGTTTTCATTTACTTCAGAAATTTTTCTTGAAATTTTATTCTCTAGCTTACTTTAAAAATTTTCTTAACTTTTTTTTTTTGAGTTGGAGTCTTACACTGTCACCCGTGCTAGAGTACAGTGGCACACTCATGGCCACCACAGCCTCAACCTCCTGGGCTCAGGTGATCCTTCTGTTTCAACTTTCCAAGTAGCTGGAACTACAGGTGTATGCCATCATGCTCAGATAATTATTTGATTTATTGTAGAGACAAAGTCTTGCCATGTTGCTCAGGCTGGTCTTGAATCCGTGGGCTCTGGCAATCCTCTTGCCTCTGCCTCCCCAAAATGCTGGGATTTTAGGCATGAACCATCGTGCCCGCCCTGAAATTTTCTTAACATTTTAACAAGACTGCATTTGCTTCAACAGTGGTCAGACAACAGTGATGGTATTCCAAAGTATCAAGCATTTATATATCCCAAATCTTAAGGCTTTTTAAGATGTGTTTGACTCCTTGTATTAGAGAAAGTTGTTAAAAAATAATATGGAAACATCAGAGTTCTGACCTTGACTCTCTAGTTTTCTTCTTCTTATTTTAGCTCCAAGAAGGAAGTATAGAATTATGAGAAAGATGGAAAATAAAAAGTTCAGTGAATTTTCCTTAAAATCTTTTTTGTGTCTGATTCAAAGGTTCAAGTCAATTTTATTTTATTCACAGTTATCTTTAACTGTAAGTGATCATTCAATATTTATTGACTGGCTTGCCTTATTATATACTAAGTACTACTCTGGGTACAAAGGAAAGATAGAAGTGAACAAAACAGAGTACCTACTCTCATGGAACCTACACTTGAAGTAGGGTGATAGACAATAACAAATATTCAAGTAAATATATGTCAGTGCTATGAAAAAAAAAGTAGGGTATGAATGGGTTAGTGAGTGGTAGTGATGTTTTATAGAAGGTTATTATCTCTTCAATAATGAGGTGTTTGGGGACCTGACATATCTGGGGAAAGAGCTTTCTAGGCAGAGGGAGAAGCATGTGTGGAAACGGTAAGGAGTGGGTATTGTCAAGGGCCACTAAAGTGGCTGATGATGCCGCCAGAGTAGAGCAGGCTTTTAGATGAGGGCAGATAAATGGGGCTGGGAAGAGAAGCAGATCATACAGGGTTCTTGGCAGTGGTAATGAGTTTGGATTTTACTCTGATTACTGAGTATTGATTCTTAAATGGTCCCCTCTCTGTCCCACAAATAATTTTAGTATTTGACAGTTAGGAAACATTAGTTTTTTCAACAACAACAATTGTTTTTTTTGTATTCTCTCTCATGGTTCTAGTGGTTGATTGAGTTCAGCAAGGCAGTTTTCACTCAGGGTCTTTCATGTGGTTCCACTCAGGTGATGCCTTGGACTGGAATCAGCTGAAGGCTCCTGGGCATCCTCTCTATCTCTGTATGATCCTCTAGCAGGGTCACTTCAGGTGCCCAGATTTCTTACATGGCAGATCAGGGTTCGAAAGACATGTGTCCCGAGAGAGAGAATTATTTTTTGAGGTAGAGAAGTTTCTTCCATCTCTTTATAGTTGTTTTTCTATTCTTGTTTTATTATTTACTATATGATATAAAATATAGAAAAGTGTGTTAAATGTATTTAGTTTAACAGATAGTTGCAAAGCAAGCACTCAAGAAATCTCCCTCAGTGATTTACCTACATAGGTAATCACTGTCCTGACATTCATAGCAATTGTTCCCATGCATGTTTTATTAGGCCTATATATACATTCCTAAACAATATAGATTGACTTGCCAACTTTTGAGTCTTGTATCAATACAGTATATATTCATTTGTGATTTGTTTTTTCTTTGCTTAGTGTTTGTAAGTAATCCATGTTGTTTAATTTTTCAAGTATAGTATCCCATATGAATATGTGTATATGGATGTATCACAATATTCTTATTTACTCTTGATAGACAGTAAGCTGTTTCTAGTTTGAAAACAACTTTATCAATAAGAAATATTTCTATGATATTGTTTACATATTTTGGTGCACATAAGCATGCATTATTTTTAGGGTATATACTTAAGAATAGAATGAGTGGTTATAGGATGTGTGCAGACTCTGTCTGGAAAATGCCATAATGTTTTCCCAAGGGGTAGTGCCAGTTTACATTCACACTGATAGTACTTGATGCTTCTCATGCTTCCTAACTCTTGTTATTTCAGATTTTTTTTTTGAGTTGGAGTCTCACTCCATTGCCCAGACTGGAGTGCAGTGGCGTGCTTATGAACACCCCAGCGTCGACCTGTTGTTGTCCGGCAATCCTTGCGTCTCAGCCTTCCAAGTAGCTGGAACTACAGGTGTGCACTACCACGCCCAACTAATTTTTGATTCATTGTAAAGACGAAGTCTCACCAAGTTGCGCGGGCTGGTCTCGAACCCATGGGCTCAGGTAGTCCACTCGCCTCGGTCTCCCAAAGTGCTGGGATTACAGCCTGAGCCACGGAGCCCAGCCACCTATACTTTTTTGTAAAGTGTTTGTTCAAGTATTCTTTTGAGTTGACCTTTTCTTATAGAATTATCTGTATTTTCTGGATATTAGCTTCCTGAATATTATTGCCTTTGTCAGATTTTGCTAACCTCATAAAATAAATAGGGGAGTGTGTACTCTCTTTTTCTATCCTCCAGAGTTGAAATTAGCTGGATGTGGAGGCTCACACCTGTAATTCCAGCATTTTGGGAGGCTGAAGTGGGAGGATTGCTTGAACCCAGGAGTTCAAGACCAGCCTCAGCAAAATAACAAGACCTTGTCTCTACAAACATTTAAAAAAATTAGCTGAGCATGGTGGCATGTACCTGTAGTCCCAGATACTCAGGAGGCTGAGGAGGGAGGGTTGCTTGAGCTCAGGAGTTTGAGGCTGTGGTGAGCCATGATTCTGCCACTGCACTCCAGTTTGGGAGACAGAGTGAAACCCCGACTCAAAAAAGGAAGGAAAAAAAAGTTGAAATTATTTCTTCTTTGAATATTGGTAGAATTTGTTTTTGAAGCTATTTAGTTCTGGGTTTTTTTTCAGGGGATTGAAGGTAGTCTTTATAGTTCATTTTCTGTATCTTCTTAATTCAATTCTTATTAGTTTTGTTTTTTATGCTTTTGGT